GAAAACCCCAAACATTAGTAGTCTTCCTGAAACCTGAAATAGCTAGACTGAGCCAGTTTTTCTAGTCTGGAACCCTCAATGTATACCTCAATTTGGGAATAAAAGTTTCAAGAGAAATTCAGCAGCCCTTTTATGTATTCAAACAGAATGTTTACAGTCTCATTCATGAACAGACAGGTAGAAATAAGATCTTCAGTCAAGAACTATTTCGAATTTATGATTTAATATTAGATAATTTTGAAATTACTTGGTCTTTTTCTTTTTTTTTTTCTTTTGGTATGATAGTAAAGTCTTTTAGCTGTGCTAGTCAGTCTGGTCTCCTAGGAAACCAAGGTTGGGTGCGCTGTTACAACGCCATCTGCTGGTGAGATCATCTGTAGTCAAACTTCAGTTCTACGGAGCTGGACCAGGGTTGTCCAGAAATTCTAGGACGCACTGCCTGAGGGGAGGGAAAGGAAATTTGGAAGTCATCTTTTTCACAAGGACTTCATGGGGCAAAATTTACTGACAACATGTCACTTTAAAAAGGTCTAGAAAATAATGAATTTCTTAGTAATTTTATTTATAAAAATTTCAGAATAGTAAATATTCTGGTCACTGTTTATTCAAATTTAAGATCTTGATCATGATAAAACAAAGATATATACATATATTTTAGGGTTAAGGAGAGGAAAGTTCCTCCATATATTTTGATTTTCATTTGTGCACAAATTAGGGAAATGACATTGTTTTTAAGATTTAAAAAAGTTTTTTTTAAACAGATTGACAGAGATGAAGAGGAGGAAAAATTTGGACAACTGTAATGGCATAACCAATAAAATATAGTTAAAAAAAGAGATTGTGTTCATGTGCTGTTTTGAGTGGGTTTAGCCTGTCAGTGGTATTTTGAACATTTAGTAGGAACACCAGGCTAATAAGACACGTTGAATATAATAAACTAGTTGCTGTCCATCACTAAAAACATGCTGGAAGTACAATCGAACCTTTCTTAGATGGAAAGGCAAAGTTATTATTTCCTCACATAATATTGTACATCTGTTTGGGGCTGGCTGATTAATCCTTTAAGAAGTTGCTGAACTTCATCCAAGTGCTGAAAACCTAATTCTGTTTTAAAAATAGCTGTATGTAATCTTATCTTCATATGTATATTCTAAGTGTTTAACAAAAAAGATAATTATCTTTGTAAACTAATGATTTCTTAAGCCTAACTGAGGCTTTGTGTGTGGGGGGGGGTATTTATTTATTTATTTATTTACTTATTTATTTGAAAAATAGTCCATAAGATACAGGGTTTGTGGGAAGAGGGATTGGTTTTTGTCTTAACTTTTCTCCGATTTCAGTGCAGTGTCAGGACCTCCCACATTGAGAGTGGGAAGCTTGCTCTTCTGCACTACAGTAGTGGTTGCTGGTACGGGAGTCAGGGCAGTGCAGTCCAAGCCACAGTGTCCCAGCAGGAAGAGTCCTGTCGTGACACTGCTCAGCACGTCTCAGGAATCTTGGAATAATCACTTCACCAAACCAGCTCACAGAGGTGAAATGAATCATGCTGAAAATACATGTCACAGTGAAATGAACGCTATAAATGGTTTTAAAGCTTCTCTGTTGTGTCAACTCTTTAATTTATTTGTACCCAAATGTTAAGCTCAGCATTCAGAAGGAATTTACTGTTTAAATTCTGATGAAAAAAGAAAAAAGGGATAATCTTGGGGAGTGGTACTTTTGATAGACTTTTTCTTTTTCTTCGCCGTGGTGGAGTTCTTCCTGCACTTCCCCCCAGCACGACAGGTACTAGTGCAGGTTTCTCAAGCCAGACTGGCTTTTCCCACCGTCGCTGGCTGGGGCAAGTTACCCCCTTTTGTCCCCATTTCTTCATCTGTGAAATACATGACATCTCCCTCACAGGTCCGTGGTGAAGGTTGAATGAGGAAATAACTTACAGATCATGTAGAATGCTGCCAGGCATGTACTAGGCACTCCCAAACCGGAGATGTTCGCTGCCCCGTTCTTCTGCAAAGCCCCGTCCTCTTTCCTGTTTCTGACAGCTCCCCCCCCCCCGTGCTGCCAGCTCGTGCGTTTGTTTCTCTTCGTGATTCGACAGCCGTTCACCTTAACACTCGCTATTGCCTAATCAAATTTTACCCTATTTTAGTCATTTCTTAATATTTTCCCACATGGTTTTTAAGGAATACTTCCAGCTTTTCTGTTTTGATTAGGTTGACAGATTTTTTAAATGTTCTTTTCAGGACAGTTTCCATTAAATGAATTCTATTAGTTATGTTTAAAATGGAGAACAGGGTACCTGTTTAGTTAATGTGGTGAAACTAAATGGTTCATGATGGTCGGATACCTGTCATCAAGGTATGTCTTCTGGCACACATTCTGGCTTCGGTGGGCCAGAACCGCTCAACTACAATCATGGCCTGTTACAGCTAGTACTGGAGGGTGCAACACGGTGTCTCCTGCGTCAGGAGTCCGTGCTACATGTTGATGTCAACAAAAATCATTTCCAAATTCTTGCAGCGCAACCTGTCTCTAAGATGCCTTTAAACACTTCCTTATGCCATTAACAGAAGACATGAGTCAAAAGGTGCAACAGGCAGAGCTATTTGATCTAGTGACCCTTTGGTTAAAAACAGTAGAATTATGAGCTTTCTTATTTCTGTTATATCTTTAAAACTTTTCCAGTTTATTTTATTGAGCTGATTGTTGTTTTCATGTGAATTTATTAAAATGTATTTCCTAACTTAATGTATATTTTTGTTTCTCTTCTGTATTATATATAATAAGGTTAAGGTGCCAGTCCTTGTATGAAGGCTTACTTGTGGTTCAGAAAAAATAAATTGAACAGTGAAAAGGATAGTGTCTTTCTTTGTTTTACTTGCTTAGTCAGTGGAGTTTTTCCCCGTCATGAGCTTTGTGGGTCTGTAGCTCTTAAAACAAACACCAGCATTCTCTAAGAAAGAAGCAGCATTTTGCCTGTTCTATTATGTTTCTATCTTGTACGTTGAGACCTTTTTTGAGAGAGAAACATTTGTTTGGTGAGTTCACATTTCTTGAAATATACATGATTCTTCAGACTGGAATCTAATGAAATAGGACACCCACTTGAAAACCAAAGAGTTGGGGATGCAGCTGAGGGTAAAGTGACCAAATGATTAGCCAGGGGCTGATAGAAATTCTGGGAAGAATGACAGATTGTGTATTAGAAAGAAATATGATCTCATATTCATTGAAGCTTTTTACAGCTAAAGATCTAAAAGAAATAATAGAAAATTACTGAAAGAGATGAATGTCTGAAACTTTAGAAATGCATGTAGTGTTGGATTCATCCAAGCAAGAAAGACTGATGGGCCGATAATAAGTTACATTGTGTAGGAAGTCTGCATTCCTTGTTTTAAGGTATTTTTGTCCTTTTATTTTTTTTTCCTGGCAAGATATATTTAAGTTGCTCTAGGCCAGTTTCAAAAAATTCAGATCATGATTTTCAGCATCATACCATATGTGGACAATTCTTTGGCATAAAGTATTATAAACAGACTTCAGATCCTTGGGTGGAGGGAATTAAACCTTCCTTCTGTACCAAATTGATAGCATTTTTCCTAATGAGAGTATGAACAGTATAGAAAACATTTCTCCATACAATCAGTTGTAATACCTGATAAGTAAAAGAGAGTTTAGGGAAATGCACTATCCTTCTGCTGATGTACTTCAGCAGCTGTACTGCTGGGGGAAAAGTTATAACTGGCAAGTGTGTGTGGTATGTCCATTCTCATTACAAAGAAATGATTATTTACTTAACTGTCTAAATTGTACTTTGCCATAGGTACATGTTATTTTACTAAAAAATACTGAGTGTGTATGTTTGTATTACTTATCTTCATATACATTTATATGCAAACTAGGATATATCCTTTTTTACTTCAGGGTCAAGTGGCCCCACAGCACTGCAGTATTTGTGCAGAAGTTCAGCTACTTTTAAATATGTCGATTGAGAAATACACATTCTTCATCTTAAACTATTCGAACCTTTTGGTCAATGTTCCCCCAGATTTCTGCCATTCAGACTTGGCATTCATTTGTGTTCTTAGTTTTTGTAGGTCCAAGGAGAAAGTGAAGTGTTTCCTGAAATATATAAAAGTAATAAAATTAACTTGCACACAGAGTACACTCTTAATTCTTCATGGGCATATTCTCGTTGGCTCTTTTTCAGTATATACTGAATCTCTGGGGGAAGAGAGATTATTGCTCTGTTAAACTGAAGTTCTGACTCCAAATCATCTGGGTTTCTATATACACAAGCATTTAAGCTCAAACTCAAGTATTTACATATAAATGAACTCTGTATTCTGTAGCCATAGTAAAACATTTCCTAGTATATCATGGAAGGTTTATGGGATTTGGTTTTTAGATTTTTTTTTAGTTACATCAGAAATAAGATCATTATTAAAATACTATAAAAGGTAGTTTTCAATTCTGTCAGATAAAATGTGAGAAATAATGCTAGCTTCAGGTATTGATTGCATAGTGTAGATGAGCTCTGTTAATAAAATAGAATAAAAGTTTTAAGTTTTGTCTTTTAATATGCTTAATGGTTTCCGTTGAATTTTTTGTAATCTGTTTTAGAAGACGATTTAAAATATAACTCATTATGTGTTTTGTTTCTGTTTTATCATAACATCTGTAGTGTGTGTGTGTATTAGGGGAAGCTGAGAATGGGCAGGAGTGGAAGTGAGACTTCTGGGGGAGGTCTCTCTCTAGTAAGAAAGAACAAATTACTAGCTATACTTATACTTCTCTTTCTGCATCAGTTGTTGCTAAACTAACCTCTAATGCCTTGGACAGAGATGACATGACTTACAAGAGGTGTTGCAAAACTTCAACCAAAATTTCATTTATAAATAGCCTGTAATCAAAGCCCTTTCTCTTACCAAAATGATTTGCCTTGGACTTGAAATGTAAACAAAGGATGCTTAATGAACTTCCATTATTCTTCTCTGCAGAGTTATTTATGCCCATTCCCAGTATGTATATGTGTATATGGTTGAGGACAGTGGAGTGTAAGTTAATTTTCCACATGTTGTCATAGCCCTTATAGATATCTATGTTTCTGGATAAATTATTTTTTAAACGGTTAAAAATTATAGAATTATAACAGGAATTTTTTGTATTCTTTTTGCAGCTATGTCATCTTATCTTTTAATTATTAAAACGGAGCTTCCTACTGCTATTTCAGAATTTTTGTCCGGAGACTATAGTGGGTAAGAAAAAATACTTTACATTGTATCCATTTACTTATTAATTCAATAAATATTTATCAATCTAGTGGGAAGTAAAACAAGCAGAGCCCCTGCCCTCAAGATGCTTATGTATGAGGCAAGAGCAGAGTAGCAATGGAGAAAAGACACTCAGCAGATGTCTACTGATGACCCGTTATGTGCTCCAAACCCCCCAAAATGCCAGGTTTCGTCCGTGCAACCTGCAGCAGAATGACGGGGTGGGACAGGGACGAGCTAGTCCTTGGAGAAGAGTAAAGAGAAATCTCTGGGGACATGCAGGATTGGGGTGGGGAAAGAATACTGAAGTACTGACAGTGAAGGTCAGCAAAGGGTGGACTGGGTGACACTGCTGTCACTTTCAGCCACAGTGATAAAGATAAATCTTATCAATAAAGTTACAGTCGTACTTGTGTGGGATTCCGATGATAAAGCATGATTTGAAAGGATATTTTCAGGGACTTAATTGTTTCAATTTCTGTTTATTTTAATAATATTATAAACAATACTAAATCACCTTATACCCCCTTTCTCCTTATTTTAAAAACACTGCGTTCTAAAGACTATTGACTCATCCCTTTTTATGGGGAAAAACAAATTAATTACACTTTCCTTTCACTACATAAAACAGGAAATTTTGAGGAAAATACACTTGAAAAGACAGTAAGTTCTCTTGTCATCAAGTCGTTTCACATAATTTCAAAATTACAACAACAACAACAAAAGCTGCCATTCTTTTAGATTTAACTATGTGATTTTGCTCCAATATTTGAACTTGTTCAGGATTAAAAAGCAGGTTTTCAAAGTTATGTTTTTAACTCTTATAACTTGATGCTCATGAAAGAATTCTACTTAGATAACTGCAAATACATATTTATAAAGAAAGTATAGGATAGTTTATTTTTTACTAAATTTATTGTGGTAAGATTGGTTAATAAAAAGTATAGTATATTTTAGGTCTAATTAAGAGCCATCAAGAAAATGTGGTTAAAACTAGGTAGGTAGAAGTTCTTAATGATTTTTTATTATTAGAACATATTGTGCCTTTAATCCATACTTTATAGTTCACAAGGCTTCCACATTCATTAACACATTTGATACTCACAAGTACCTTGTTTTATCTACCACTTTATCTAGTTACTTTTAATTTTTTATGCTCTTATTTTGATAAATAACTCCTGTAGGAAGTAGCTATGTTTGGCCCTGGCTGGGTAGCTCCGTTGGTTAGACCGTTGTCCCAAAACACCAAGGTCGTGGGTTCAGTCCCCAGTCAGGGCATACTTGAGGATCAACCAATGAATGTATAAATGCAACAACAAATTGATCTCTTTCTCTCAAGTCAATAATAAAATTTTTAAAAGAAGTAGCTATGTGAAAACCACTTTTGCACTCGAAGTAAAAATACTGCGGACAACTGGTATCACTCAGAAAGATCTGTGTGATAAGTGTCTTTTATAATTCAGGGCTAAGAAGTCATGGTGCTATGAGGTAAAATAAAGAATGTTAACGTGAGGGTGAGGAGGTGTGTGTCCTGTCCGTTTCATAGTCCGTAACCTCAGGAAGTTAACTGAACTCCTTTTCATCAGAGAACTTAATTCTGAGCCTTACGTCTCGTCACCTCCTGTAACATTCCCAGTATCGCCTTCTTCACAAAGTTGTTGGGATGATCACATAAAATATTTATGTACACATGCTTTCGTCAGCTGACAGCATATTGGAAGTGTGCAGAACTAAGAAATCCCATAATGTCGTATGTCAATTACACCTCAATAAAAATGAAAAGAAAACCTAATATCTATATTAAAGATGATTATTTCTTATTTGCTCTGCTTGCCAGGAAGATCAGAGTCAAATTTGAATGCTTTGTGTAAACTATGTTAATCCTAATAGTTGATCCTAAATTTGGTCACTTCTATTTACAGTTCTTTATTGTCACATATTTTTATGGAAAGAGGAGCCTGAAGCAGTAATTCGAAAGAATAGGAGCACCCCTATGTTCATTGCAGCATTATTTACAATTTCCAAGAATTGGAAGCAGCCCAAGTGTCCATCAGTAGATGAGTGGATAAAACAACTATGGTACATTTATTCTATGGAGTTATACTTGACCGTAAAAAGGAAGAGTATTTTACCCTTTGCAACACCATGGATGGACCTGGAGAACATGATGCTAAGTGAAATAAGCCAGTCATTGAGAATCAAATACCATATGACTTCACTCTTATGTGGAATCTAATGAACAAACTGAACTAATAAGCAAATAGAGACAGACTCATAGACAGAGAGCAGTCTGGCAGCTGTTGGGAGGTGAGGGGCTGCAGGGATCCAGCAAATAAGAACAAGGACTCACGGACATGGACAACAGTGTGGCAGCTGCAGGGGGGAGGGGGCGGCTGGAGGTGGGAGAGGGTATCAGGGTATTAATGGTAATGGAAAAAATACACTTTAATAAAAAACTTAGGTCTTCATTCTCTAAAAGTGATACTTTTTCCGTAACTTCATTTTAAATCAATTTCCATTTACATTTTTTCTGCCCTATTTATAAAAATTAAAATTAGCAGCCATCTCACTTATATTAGTGGAAAATTACTGTTTTTACATGTCATGTATGGACTTTTAAAATTATGTACTTCAAAATATTGTGGCCAATTAGCATTGTCTCTATTATGATGTTTTAAAATTGCACATTTTTAACAGCCTTGTGTGTTTTTTTTTTTAAGATTTTATTTATTTATCTTTAGAGGGGAAGGGAAGGAAAGAGGGAGAGAAATATCAATGATGGTTGCCTCTTGTGAGTCCCCTGGTGGGAATTGGCCTGCAACCCAGGCGTGTGCCCTCACTGGGAATCAAACCGTGGTTGCTTGATTCCCAGGCCCGCACTCAATCCACTGAGCTACACCAGCTAGGGCCAGCCTCGTGTTTAAAATCTGATATATATTTGCTTATTTTGGATTTCATAGTTTTGAAAAAAAATAATAAGCAACTAATTATACTGGTTAGAATGCAGATATATAATTAGTGTTTAAAACTTAATGTTGTAAAATAATTAAGAAATAAATGTTATGGTAATTTACTTAACAATCCAGGGCCATTTATTTCTGAGTCGAGTTACACAGCAGTTTCTTCTATGAGATCAACATGGTATTGTAAGCTTTTATTTTAGAGTTTGATTCACCATGACTTGCAGCTCAGATCTGCAAGTGTGCTTATTTTCTCAACTATCTGTGAGACTTGATGTACCTTTGTGAAACATAAACCTTTACAAAGATGTTATTAAAAAGAAACTCTATGTTCATGATATTCTAATTTCAAAAATTACTATTAGACGTCAGAAGCTATAGTACTTAATACCAAACTTTTATGAGACACCTATGTTTTTTCATAGAATAACTTATATTTTAAAAATCTACAGCTGTTAAAGTTTGGGAGCTCTCTGTTAACATTTAATGATCTTGTCAGGGGAGTATGATTGACACAATTAAGTTGTCTTGCATCTGAGTTACAAAATTGATATGGGATGTAAGATCCTAATTCAGAACATATGATACTCTTGTTCCATTCCATTCGAGAATGAAATTAAAGCAACTTATAAATAAATCTGGTTTTCATTAAAATATGGAAAAATAATGCCTGCATGCCAAAGCATTTGAAATACAGCTTGGGATTTATACTCCATATTTTATACTTGGAACATTTTTATCATATAGGATTAAATCCACAGATCAAACGAGTTTTCTAGGAAGTATAAAACTTTTTACTCTAATTCTATTAGCTTGAAGAGAATGTATGTTTGTATCCCAGTGGGAAAACACGATTCTATTAGATAATTCTTTTCTCCCCTCTCTTAGGGAAAAAAAATTAAGATTAGTGTATTCTTTTAAAATCTTGATTTATACAATGTATTTATTTAATATATGCTTTTGAGATTCCTTTGTACTGGTTTGTATTTCGTAAGTTTAATCACGTCTTTTCTTTGGAAATACTCATTGCCAAACTCAATTCAGTTGACTGTGACATGCCTGTGAAATGTAAACTAACTTTACCGTGCAGTAATGTATCGCCTTTGTTGTTGGCAGTATTAATATAACTTAATAAGGATACAGAAGCGAGGATAGAGGCATTATATTTTGAATAAAGTATTTTCTGTATTAGGAATTTAAAGTCAATCTAGTAAAGAGGAAAGTAAAAAAAAAAAAACAAACCACAATGTTGAGAAGAAATGAGGCAATATCTGGATAACCATAATCTCAAAGTGACTATTCAAGAGTAGAGAATATTTCCATTACTTCTTTTATTTTTAGATTTTGTTTATTTATTTTTAGAGAGGGGAAGGGAGAAAGAAAGAGAGGGAGAGAAACATCAATGTGTGGTTGCCTCTCACATGCTCCCTACTGGGGACCTGGCCTGCAACACAGGTATGTTCCCTAGACTGGGAGTTGAATCTGTGGCCCTTTGGTTCACAGACCAGCGCTCAGTCCACTGAGCCACACCAGCCAGGGTGCCATTACTTCCATCACTAAGATCATCACCATCTTTTTGCCAATACTGCTGACATGAAATGAAGGTGTTGAGCCAGGTGATATGTGAGGTCTCTTCTAGCTCTAATAGGCCATAGCTCTGAGATTCTGAGTCACTTCTGGGAGGAGGAAAAGTTATCTACAAACCAACAGTTCAGTGCTCTGGGCAGTCATGTAGCTTCTATGAACATGAGTGAAATTATAATTTGAAATAGTATAACATTATAAAGTATAATATATTAGTATAAGGTATAAAGTTCAGTATTTCAAAGGCTTCCTTTCTTCTTATGCAAGAGGAAGGAGTCTTTGGTCCTGAGGATTAGCATGCTCCCTTCACAGCTCTACCTTCATGGCAGCAGGGGCAGCAGAACTGACAGATGGGACCTGCTCGGGGGCTCCCCTGGGCCTCTTGCCTCCTGGCGCTGCACCTGTCAGGTCTGATATTGAAGCCCAGAGGGGGGAGATCTC